GTAATAATAACCATAACAAGGATTATCTTCTTTGTTTCTGACGACAATGATCCAAGCAGTTGGGGATGGATACATGCAGAATGATGGTGTGTGAGTTAGTTTGATAAGGTACATGTACTGCCTGTCCATATTCACTGCACTGTGCAATTGACCTGCTTTACCCAATCAAACAAAGTCTTACAGGTAAACACCTGTTGGAGTTTGTGTGATTGGGTATTATTGCAGCAGGAAGTACTGTTGGAGTCTTTGATTGGGTGCTGTAAAGTACCGGTAGGAGTTTGATTTCAAGGTGTTGGAGTTTGTGTGATTAAGGAGGGAAAGCACCAGCAGTCCTAGGGCAGGTTCACGTACACGTACCAGTATGTAGGGTTAATGTGATTTTTAAAAATGATTTAAACATATTTTTTGTCCCAGCAATTTAAAATGAATAAGACTGATACATTTATGAAACAACCTTGCCTTTGACTGTTCATGAACTGTGGAGGATACAGTCAAATAGGCTACAATAAAATCTTTCTTCAGCTGTTAACATACAAATGTTGTTACACTGTACAAGCAGAAATGGCATTGAATTTGATCCACATACATGTGTACAGGTAGATACGGTATGTACATGTACGGCAGACCACATCATTTCAAATTGTTACTGGTCAGTGCGTGTACATGTACGTATGTTCATGTACCTTTGAGTGAATTTTGCTGGTACATCTCTAGACATGTATGTACAGTACAACATACGGTGCTCGTGTACCGGTACTTGTGTACTGTACATGTCCAAAAATAGAATAGTACAGGTGTGGTACCGGTCCAGCAAAACCAATTTGAAATAGCAGAACTGAATTTGGGAGTTGTGGGAAGGGCTTCCCAAAGGAAAAATGGAGCTGTTTGACAGTAACGCTTTTGTTTCACTCTGTTTATTTCTCACACAAGTCTTACGACAAACAAAACCACTGTTACCATGGTTACGTGTACATCAAGAAATCAAATGAATCAACAGGGTACATTACTTTTGTATTAAAACTTATGTACAGTAAATTAAATAATCAATTAATGAAACAGGCAATATGACAAAGGTTCTTCTATATACAAAAAAATTAACTCTGTCTTCTTTCAGACGACACAATCGTACTTGCTCTAACACATGTACTTTTTGAACTTGTGACTGTCAAGTCTGTGTTTCTCGAACAAAAGAAACCTGCAATTAATTTGTTTTGATACATGCCCTGAAATGCACCTTTATGTCTCAATTAAACCATATTGTCATACATATGTACCGGTATTTTGGACTTTCCTTTATTGTTCCAAAGAGTATTTTGCTGCCTTTTTGGTTTTTATGCTAATGAGATTTCCAAATTCATGACAAACCATGAGTAAAGCTATGATGTCATCCCAGAAAGAAGTCTCAATGTACACAAAAAAGTCCTGCATTTTTGTAGATTTTGCTGGCCTCAGCTTTCTCTTCTGCGCTGATCCATCGTTGTTCATGTGCATACATGTACATGTACCAGTACATGTAGCAACAAGCATCAATTCCTCTTAAAGAATTGTTTTCAGTAAGCACCGGTAAATTCTGGTTCAGAATTTGAACAGAGATGCTTTGAACTACATGTACATGTACAAGAATGTCTTCCCTAGATGACATCACAGCAAGAGTGTCCTCAGTTTTCTAGGAAACATGGATAATTTTACTTATTTAAAAAAAGTGCATTTTCAATGCATTTAACCTAATAGGAATGTAAAAGAGTTTTCATACATGTACATTGAGGAAGAATGCACAGGTGAGAAAACATTCATAGCTGCTTCACTTTAAGCTTGTGCGTTCAAATCTACAGGTTCAGGTTCTGAGAACATCCACTGCACAGTAAATTGAATGAATAAATTGAATTTAATGCTAAAACAGCTGTTGACATCTTTCACTGTATACTGATAGAGTACATTATAATACTGTACATGTACATGTACTAGTGTGCTGAAACACACACCTGTGTTACAGTTGCTGATAGTGTATATGTGCATACATGTACACTTACATGCACATGTACATACATGTATATGTACATTGAAATAGGTGTGATGACCCATGTGAACGCAACTTTTTGAAATTTACAGAAAATGTTGACACTTGTGTCCAAATCAAAGTTGAGAACCTTTCTTTCTTGATACGTACATGTAATGTACATGTACATGTGCCAATATTGCAAATTTTTATGGTCATGTAATTTGCACATGATGTACAGTACATGTACATGATGTACCTTTTATGTCTTTTGTCCTTTTTTTGATCAATGATTTTATTGCACATTGGTTACTTGGTGGCCAGTCTACATGTATACATGTACCAGTAACATGTATGTATGTACATGTTTTAGGGATTTAAATATGTGTACCACATGCAGTACATGAAGGGTTTTAACTTTACAAGGCTCCTACCATGGTTATTGATTTTTTCATTTAAATTTTTTTTTTTTAATTTGTTGATTTAAATCAGATTTTTTTGATTTCTTATAAAAATTGGAAGCAAGTTGGCCCAATTGTCTATTCAGAAGCAAGCAAATTAGCTGCATGTGTATAGCTTTCTTTTATTTATTTATTTTGTTACAAAATTAAACAAATTTGGATTTGAATTAAGAAATTTAAATCAAGTAATTTGAATAATTCACAAACCACTATGTCTTAGCCATGGTGAAATACATGCTGACTGACACCTACACTGTACATGTATATGTGCTTGTACATGTGCCCACAGAAACAACACTTCCGTTAGAGACAGGTACGGTACATGTACATGTACCAAGGATAAAGTGCATACCAGGTTTTAAACCAAACTCTTTAAGTTTTGACAAAACTAGAGTTCACAGGCATTCGTTAACAGGGTACTTATACATGCATCAAATGACAAATGAGTGAGAAACATGTCATGAACAACATTTATTGTACATGCTACTGTGTATGTACCATTTCGTGTTAGGTACAAAATGCTGGTACTGGGACCTTGCTCCATGTGCAAAAAGCAGTCTCATTTTGTTTGTGATCCTGCTCCACAGAGTATGACTTAGGCTTGATTAAAAATCACTTTATTTAAGGGCATTATTAAGGGGTATTTTACGGTTTTAGTTACACTGCATCATGACTAACATTTCTAATCTCAATAAAATACATGTGTACATGTACCTGTATATAAAAGATAGTTGTACACTGATACCAGTACATGTGCTTTACAATGTATATCAAACTATGAAGTGGGCAATTCAAATATAGTACTGGTAAAATTAAATCATGACGATAAATCCTTTGCATCAAATTCACTTACTGAATCTGAAACGCTGATTTAAATCAAAACAAGGGGATTGAATTGAACAAAAACATCTTGCCGAACCAGATTGTGTGTGACACGTGCATTCGTACTTCTTTTTTAATACTACCGGTAGTAGGGACTGGAAGGCTCAAAGAGGGGGGATTTGCTGTTTAAAATGCGCAAAACCTGCAAACATTTCCAATCAGCAAAAGATAATTCAAAAATTTAAACATTTTTGCCTTTTCCCCCCAAATTAAATATATTGATTTAAATCAATGATTTTTCAAAATAATCATTTGATTTAAATTGTGATTTAAATCAAGCCAACCCTGGCTCGTACTACCGTAAATTTATCTTTTAAAGAAAACTTTCTTAATCCTCCTTTCAGAATTGAAAAGTATAGTAATAAGGTATTAAACCCCATGGCACAATCTTGGTACTCAATTTAATCCTGAAAGAGCTGGGGGGGGGCAATATTTTCTCCAATATTGTCGTAGTGCACTTTTGTCAGGCACTGAGCCGCAAGAATTTTTAATAACATCATGCAGTCATTTTAACTCCAATTTTGTGAAAATCGAATATACAAGTACATACGCTGTTCATGTATTCATATGCATGTACATGTACCGGTACATTTGTACCATTCTCGCACAACATGCCTCGTTAGGAAGACAGGACAGCTGAAAATCCGTACTTTTTCTGTTACATGCTCAGTGCATGTACATGTAGGTCAACATGTTTGAGGTCAAGAAGCTTGTATGACCATCACCTCAAACCCTATGGCAAAATGGTACATTATTTCACTGAAACATTCTCATTGAATTGATACCTGTGTTGAGTGTCCTTATATGCATGCTACATAAGTTCCAAACAATCGAGCATGTGATGGTCGGGTTCTGGAATCTGCTCCCCCCTACAAGCTGTGAGATGGTCGAAAATACCAGCTCTTTGCATGTTATAGTACATGTATTGTTACCGTACCTAATGTATACATGTACATACTGTATGATGTACTGATACACTTGTGTACATGTACCTTGCACCGTATGTGAGTGTTGTACCAGCAGGTACATTTACATACTTATATGTAGATTGTGTATGTATGCTGCATCACCCTGGTATTATCTGAAAGTTTAAACATGTGGGAATTGCCATTGATTTATGCAATTCAGGGTTCCAGCGGCCTGCAAAAGTCATGAAAATTTGTTTTCGTTTTTCAGGCCTGGAAATGTCATGGAATTTTGTAAAAAAAACCCAAAGTCATAGAATTTCTCAAACACTGTGTGTGATGCCTATTATTAGAAATGTTTTCATTAGCGCATAAAATGCATGATTTTCTTCGCAACTTTAAAAGTCTGAATAGTCTAAGAAATTGTGTTATTGGGTCATTGATGTTCAAAACTTGGTCATGGAAAAGTCATGAAATTTAAATGTCCTCCTGGTGTGGGAACCCTGGCAATTCGGCTTGGTAAAATTAATGGATATTTTTAATTAACTAAAGTTGATCAGTGTGCTATTTTTTAAAAAATGATAGGAATTTTCTCTTTGCTAAATCTTTATAAATGGTAACTGCATTGAATTATACATGTAAATGTACGTGTTCATGTTCCGGTAATATTGAATCTATTACATATTTCTCAAAATGTTTTAGCCAAATCCAAATGTTTAAATTGATCACATGTACAGTTTTGTTTTGGGTAGCAGCAATGTCTATTTAATTTATAAAGCTTCGATGGCCCATAAGAGCTGGTTATATGGAGTTGATCACATCTGAAAAATTAACCAGTACAGGAGGAATTTAAGTCCCGTCCTACATGCATATATTTTTTTTATTCTGTTTTTATGTAGGCCTTGCTGATGCCACCTGTTCAACAGGAGAACCCTTTGTGGGATATTTTCCTTCAGTTTCTGAAAAACAGCTCAAGCTACAGCATGGAACGCTGGCCTCGGATTGTGCTGAAACCTGCTGCCTGGAAGAAGTTTGTGATTTGGCCTGGATCATGGACGAGGACTGTTTCCACGGCCAGTGTTATACAGAGAGCGACTGCATACCGCTAGCAAGCATGAGTGCATCTAGTATCGTGTACGTCATGGAGAGGCCAACCCAACCTCGCACTCCAGGTGAGAATGTTTGGTATTAACGCAAGTACACATGTGTACATTGTAGCCCCAGTGAAAACTTTAAAGTGTCCTTAAAATGTTATAGTCCTCACAAGGTTTGAGTGCCCTCATAATGTTTTTGGTCCTCAGATGTTGGATAAATTAGTTTACTCTTACTATCTTAGAAACCACTTACGGTGAAGTTTGTAGTGTTTGACTTTAATGTCTGATTCAACTGCAGCACATGTTGAATAAATGTACATGTACCTGTACCTGTACCTACTGTGCATATGCTACCAAAATGTACATGTACGTACACGCATACGTGTAATTTCCTGCACCTGTTCTTCAGACTAATTAATTGCAGACAGTTAATACAGAATTGTAATCAATAATTTGTGGGGCAGGTGCATTGTTAGTGAGTATGAAATTACTGTGTCAACAGAAATCACCAGAACTGATAAGTTTATGATGTGATTCTAGTTTAGGGAAAAGGATGCTGCATATTAGTGACACGAGGGTGGGGGAGGGAGGGAGAGGGATGTTCTGCTTTTTTATTAAAATGAGGACCAATGCTGATTGTGTGCCATTGTTGTTTTTGTGTAGCTGGTGCATTCAAGGAGGCAATGTACAATGCAACTGTCTTCATTTGTTAAATAAGCTTTTTGTGCATTAAATTGAATCAAATGAATCGAAATTCAAATTGTTACCGGTACCTGTATGTTCATGAGAATTTAAAGAACTGAGTCTACCAGATTTTATTTGCATTTTTTTGCTGAAGGTTTACAGCAGTGATACAATCTGCATGTACTTTTATGACGTGGGACATTAGTAAAAGCTTGAGAAAAGGTACATGTACTATACATGTACGTTACAGTATGTGCACATTTTGAAAAGTGTACAGGCAGTGCCACGGTGCATGCTTGATATTGGTTTTTGTAATAAAAGCACTCTGAAATGGTTTCCTGTTGATGTGACTCAGCCTGTGAACCAGATGGTTTGAAATCGTGTATTTATGCATGTACGTGTATGTATTTTGTTTTTATACGATAGTGTGGAAAAGCTGTACATGTACATGTAAATTAAATCATAAATTACATAGCCGGTATCTTGGTGCCTGTACAGAGCTATGGAACACCATGGAGATAGGGAGATACATGTACTGTATTCTGTTATTCATGTCACCATGGTTGGGCTCATGAATAGCCATGAATCTTCATAATTAGTATAAAATCCAAAGTGTTGAAATCTCTCCCTGTTGCTGCAACGGAGGAGGTGGAAAGTTCATCAAGCTGCATTTCATGCATGTACATGTACATTTAAGCCATAAAAAATCCAAACGTATAATTCCATGAAAATTCCATGTGGAATAGTGGCTGGTACACATGTGCTCTTCGTACTATAGATGTACTGTACCTTTCCTCAAATTCCCTCAGAAACCTTCACAGTCTTTCTCATGTATCAGTTACTTAAAAGTCGAAAAGTCATCTGGAAACTCAAATAAAAATAGCCAGTGAACAGTATTGGTTTGAATGGATGCTACACATACATGTACTGTACAGTACACACATGTATATGATGCACTCATATCAGGGGTGAGATTTGCCAGTATTTTCCAGATTTCAGGATTTTCTTCATCCGGATTTTCTAGTTTCAGGATTTTTCAAACAATTTCCTGATTTCTTTTAAAATCTGGAAAATCTGGAGTTTACCATTAAGGTGTTTTTATGCACTAGACATGCTAGAGAATACAAGACATGGGTATTTTAAGGAGTCCTTTCAGGAAAACACAACTGTATGCCATAGACTCTACTCTGCTGTGGACCCTAAAAACCTCTGGGGATGATTTTGTGGATATTCACTTTCATCCAGTCTCACCCCTGCCCCACCTGTACTGCTATTTTTGCCTGAAATATTAATTTACCACTACTACAGTAGGGTTCTCGTTTTTTTGATAACAGTTTCAGGTGTTGTTTGTAGCCCCCATGACAAGTGGGACACCTGTCCCATTGGGGAACACTGCGACAAGCGTCTTGGTGAGTGTCAGTGTAACGATGGAAGGACACGAAGCTACAAGACGAATCGTTGCGAGTACGAACAAAGAGGTGAGTCGGCAGAACTCAATGGACTGTTTGTGTTACAATGTATCAATTAAATTTCTTTTCAGATACTTGCCCCCTAAAAAGCCAGTGTGGTTTTAAGTTAAAAAATGATATGACAGTCAAATGATGTCCGGGAAAGGCCATCAGTTTGAATACTTTAGCTTGAGATCATCTCTTTTCGTGCATACTTTTGTAGTGCAAAACTTTTCTTGGTCTTATTTGTTGTGAAAAAAAAAAGAAATATGGAGGAATTTCTCAGTTTTACTTTGAGGAAGCTCAGTTCAAGGACAGGATATGCATACTGCCCTGTTGATATGAGGTTTCCAGAGAGTTTCATAGATTATCTTACCAGTTTGCCATATGTTGCAACTGGTCCATCTTCCCAGATGCATTCTTGTTTGGAATGAGATTAATGAAACTTGACAGGGCTAACAGGCACAATGTGGATTGCATCTGTCGGGATGATACAGTATATTTTGAACTGCACCATTTTTCCTGTATTCGAGTGACTTCTAGTCGTAAGCAAATATTTCCCAGTAGGTCATTTTGGAAGCATAAGCAGAAATGGAGTTTGTTGTATAAACACACGGATCCCCTGTACTTTTCCTTGTTGAGCATACATAAGATAATGGCATACATTATAGGCCTACATGTAAGTGTACATGTACATTTATCAAGTAGACATTATCATTGAAATGGCACGTGATGATCACTGAAGAAGTACATGCACTTCAAGACTTGTTCTGAGGCCAACCCGTGCACATATCATTGCTCATGGAATGACATTTTATCCCCATGCAAAGTGGATGGTCCGAATGATGTATGACCGACTTCCTTAGGTCTTCACTCATGAATTACTGGTAGTGTACATGAATTGTCAGTAGATGGCACTAACAGTGTATAAATATCACACATACCAGTACAATTAAAAGAATATCAAATTGCCGTTGTTGTGGGATTGATCAGGCAATTGGCACAAAAAATTGTCCTCTTTTTGAATGCATACTTTTTCAGGCAAACATACATGTATCTATATGCAAAATTGAATTTGCAAAGGATGTACACGTACATGTACATGTACATGTAGATTCAATGTTGCCAATATCCAGTACTGCAAACTGTATGTATGCAAGTGACATCTGATTGTGTTGCTGTACAAGTACATTCAAAGCTGTAGAACTGTGAGATATTCCTAGCCAAATAGTCCTGTAAGAGCTGGTAAGTTGTGATGTACAGTAGATCCTCAACAAGTGCATTTTTAGGCACTGTAGAGTACATGTACATGTACATGTTGCACTTGAGTCTGTGACAAGTGCAGAATAATTCACATTTGTACACAAATCAATTTGCTCTCGACCATTTCCTGGTGAAAATTGGCTTTTTTTTAATTTCCATGATTGATGGTGTTGGATTGGGCCTGGCCTGCGCTATTATTAAAATCAATGTCTTGAGTATTGATTTTTGAAAATTTAATATGAATGCTGGATCAGTAGAATAAGTTGCATTAGCATAACTCTATCTTGATCTTGATCAAAGCTTTTTGGCAGTAAACTGAGAATCAGAATCTTTATAATTCCACACTGCAGTAAATAGTACACACAGTACGCACAGAGCTGTCAGGTTTACTAAATTGGGAAATCAAATTCCGTTGGAAATTCACTCCTGAATGCTTTAAAATCCAAGCAAACAAGGTGCTAGATTTGGACGCATGGGAAATTAAAGTTCAATCGTCAAGCTGAAGATAACAACAGAAAATGGCCACAGCTGATATGCCATATTGGCTGTAGGAGCCACCATTTTCAACTATTCTTAGCAGCAGATGACAGACAACTGATCAAGTGACAATTCTAGTACGGTATTTAGTATGCAACTGTTTCGGGATGTACACACATGTACATGTACGGTAAGACCTCGAAAAAACAATCATGTACATCTACACATGCACAATTACACCAGCGTTATGCTTCAAAGGTTTAGAAAATCTATTTTTTAGAGGAGTTGTACCGACAACCAGCTAGTACTCTGATGTCTATAACATTTGATATTTTCTTCACTGATACATGTACCTGTGCAGTTCACAGCAGCAACGTGTTCAGTTTTCTTCCAAAGAAACAAGCGGTCTTTCAGAGGCTGAAGCGTAAGTGAAGAGCTGGCTTGATTTGTGCATGCCACAGTGTTCATACTGTAGAATGTCACTTGACGTACTGTGCATGACTCATTCATCGTACACATACATGTACAAACATACATGTACATGTACATGTTTTATTTATCCACTTTTCCTTTCCACACTTATAAACCTTATCATGTTCATGAACAGAATACAATGTTTGTACATGTGCATACTTGCTGAGTCGCTGTATGCACACAGTTCACATACAGTACACCTACATGTACAGGTTGCCATGGACAGTGTAAGTTTCAGTGCATACCCAGGCATGACAGGATAATGACCACAGTACATGAGTACATGTACATTGACATGTACCGGTACTTTTGTGCTTCCAGTGAATACAATTTTTATTTGGCACTTTTGAGCAAGTTTGAATTATTAGTTTCAAACTAAACTAATGTCACTGATCGATGTTGCCTGGTACCGGTACATGTACCTGGGATACCTTTTGTATGGAAAATCAACCAGTGGTTGACTTGTAGTCGTACGGTGTAGTCTTCATTTGATCTTGGCCTTTGATTAAGTACATGTTGGAGTTGGTGATAGAATTGAGGAATTGAAATGAGAAATCCAACTTGATGGTATGATTTGTTAAACATGTACATGTATACATGTTCCTTTGCATGTACCCCTACAAACAGCATACGTGTAGTCCAGAGGATCAGGTTGATTTTCTTATCACATTGAACCATTGAAAAACAGGAGAAAGTGTGGAGGATAAAAACTTCCTTGACCAACGAAGCACTGGTATTTTTGTGAATGGTTCCAAATCAAAAAATTAAAACAGAGAAAGAGATGTTAACAGGTGCTCCATCAACACATTTCATTTCCTCAAATCGAAACCTCCAAATGTTGCATGATTTTTAAGTATTTGCTGTTTGCTAACTACTGGGTTTGAGCAGCTTTGCTTCACTCACAGCAACCACAGCGGTCATTGCCATGGTCCACGGGCATAACCACATCTTTCTGTTTTTGTTTGTTTGGTTTTTTGCATGCGTACCACCCCCACCCCTCTTTCCCCGCCCCTTTTCTCCTCCCTACCAGTAGAACCCTGGAACTCCCTGACTGGTAGTGATAGTCTCAAAAAACCTGAGTACGCCAAAACCTACGATTCCCATAATCCGTATGCGGATAAATCGGAAGGCTTTCTCGACGATGTGTCCAAAAGCGGAACCAGTGAGGAAGATGACAAGTTCCGCTTTTGTAAATCAGAGGAGGAATGTGAAGAGTACGAGTACTGCTTTGGTTTGCAACACTTCGGTGCCGGGATATGCAAGTGCTTAGACGGGTTCCACGAGTCCAAAGAGCTGGGCATGTGTATCAGAGAGACCCCAGAAGGTTGTGTTTGTTAGTTGCAGTTTACTCCAGTTGGCAAAAACTCTAAAACAAGTGGGGCATCCTACCACATGCACTTTCATAATCTCCGGAATTTTAGACCATGCTAAAAGTTTCCTTTTTGCTATGTTGCTTTCTTGCAGGAGAAGTTTTCACCTTTGCCTGCTTGTTTGAGTTTTTGCCATTCTGTTCTGCAAAGCCAATGATTAGAAGTGTCCAAATATTTTCAGCAACTTCAGAGAAAAGAAAGAAAAAAAGCCAGGATGTTGTAAGCCATGTGTTTGGTTGGAGAACAGAACAGAGCAAATCCCAAAGAAAATCTGTGACACACCGTTCACATGTCCAGTGTCCCCCTTTAAAGTATTTCATTTTCTCAAGCTGTTCTCTTCATCAACAAAGTGTTTTATCAAAAAAAGTAGAAATGAAAGAAAAGAAATTTCACAACTTTTCTGGCTGTACATTTAAGGTTCTCAAAATTCAACATTTTGATATGATCAGTTGCGGATTTTCACCTCACTAAGTGCGCATTATTTGGAGGTTTGTACATGATTGCACTGCGTGATACTGTAGTTTACTTGTACAAAATGTTCAAAGTGCTGTTTATAAAAAATAACCAAAATGGCGTAAAAGTTATGGTGCTTGCACAGTGCACATCTCTATCCAAACTACATCATTTATTAAGGACACTTTTCATGATTTGCTTTGATGTCAAAGGTAACAGTGGGGCTGAGTTCAAGTGAACCCATGATCATAAAGGCTTTCAATCCATTGTTGATGATTCAGCCCATATGTCACCTTTGATTCTATTGTGTGCATGTGTGGTGAGTGTCTCTGCAGTATGGCGTATGAGTGTGGTATACAATAGTACAGAGCCACATGTTATCAGATCATGACTATCCTGCAACGTGTGTGTATTGTGTGACGTGTTAGTTTCCCCTTATCTTCTCATCTGCGACTGGAACTGTTTCATTTTGAAAACCAAAATGAGCTGAGCAAGTTGGAGTGTTGCGATACTATTTTCCCCCTATTTTTCTCTTTTAATTGTGGGGTGGCTGGGTGGGCGGACATGGGATATTCATTGTCCAGTCAAAGAACTCAGGTAGTGACTAAGGCATTTGGCTTCATCTGTCTTTACTGTCTGATTTGGACTCTTGTGATAAATTTCTTGTAAGCACAGAAAGATGCTTAATACAGACATGGCAGAGATAAAAAATTGTCTCCTGAAATCAGTTTACCAACCTAAATGCCATGCAGTGTACGTGCATTGCCTGTCGCTGGTTCCCTGCATATTTCTGCTTAGTGTGTCAAATTTATCATCTTAGCATCTCAGTGAAATTGGTAATCATTTATGACATCATGTGACCCACCACAACAAGCCATGTGTTGTTTCCCATCACAGCATAGCCAAGCTCTTTTGATCACATACATATACCATTTAGTCATTTATCGCTCAATGTTTTTAGCATACAAATTTTACAGTAAGACTTACGAAGCACAGCACATGGCATCATCTAGGACATTTATAAAGCACACTCGTACACATGTGCTAGTACATTTGTAGGTTTTAGCTTCACCCAGATTTGTTTTCCTGGTCATTTTTAGCATCACCATCTGCTGACTGTCCCATTTTAGCAAAGTGACTGGAAATTTGTGGACAGATGGTTTCTCACGCTTGGTGACAGAATACATGGAATAAAAACAAGAAATACACAGTACTGTATTTTGCAGTCTTAGAACTGCTCCATTTTATTTGTGGCATCTCTCAGTGTACATGTTATATACCGGAATGTACATGTATATGAAGTTGTGCATGTTGTTTGTCAGTGCTTGATGCGTGTACCCAAATACATACATTGTACTTTGACAGAATATGTGATTTCTAATGGAAGTTTGTAACAATACAAGTGCATTTGTAGTGCCTGAAACTCACATTACATGTGCCTGTACATGTCCGTACCGGTACATCTACATGTATATGTTTATGTACATTGTATGTGTGAAGTTCTCTGATCCAGCAGTGTGGCACCACAGCTTACAATTTTAGAAAAGTTAGACAAATTAAGCAAGGTTAAGTTTTACATTATCAGAGGTTGGGAAAATGACAGTTGGTGAAATGTTACATACATACCGGTATATGTATATGGATGATAGAGAGACCAACATTGATTTTGTAACCAGGGACCAATCCTGAAAAATTCAGTTTTCTTTTTTGGGGGCAGGGAAGCTCGGGGTTGGGGTGGAAGGTTTAGGGTTTACACGTAGCTTTTCCATCCTTTGATACTTCCCTGTTGGTTGGCATGCATGGCCTTTGAAGTTGAAATTATGTGAATTATGCATGAGACACAAACACTGTAATGCATGAGAAGTGGATGTGTGCATGAGCAGCTAGATGCAGTGCATGATGCATGATGTGTTTTTTCTCACTTTTAAATGTTGGAGCTGTCTGTGTTTTGACTTTGTTGGAAATGTTTTACATTGATGTCTTTGTTTGGTACCGGTACTTTGATGTCGTGCTTTTGTTCACTTTCTTAACAGTAGGAAACTCTCAACCAATCAGGTTTCATTTCGTTTCTCCTTCCTATTAGGGGAGGTTAGGGAGTCACCAAAACCAGTCACTATGCCCAGTAAACCATCATCCATTGCTGACTCCGAAAATCCCCTCACCACACCCCCAGCCACTCCCCCTGTGACACTTCCTGAAACACCCCTAGCAACACCCCCTGAGGATGGGGATACCCCCAAAGAAACACATGTCCCTACTTTGGTACTCCTGCCTACCCCTCAGGTGAGGAATGACACAGATAAGCAGGGGGGGAGTGATGGGGGTGGAGCTAATGGAGCTGGTGTGGGGGGGTCGGAGCTTGGTGATAGGGAGGAAAGGCCACACAAGAAGAGTGAAGGAAAAGGGTTAACGCACCAAGGTATTTTATGTTGGTTGCACAGAGATTGTTATTGTCTGTTTGTTCTTGTTACATGTACAGTTTTGTAGGTGCAAAGTTTGTTAGTAAAAGACCCCACATATGAGTTAAGTCATTGTAGCCTCCCAGTTCACAAGGCCTTTTCTTGCCCACTTTAATGTATGTGTACATTTGGATGTTCCATTCTGTCATGTTACATCCCACAATTTTTCAGGGACATGTATTTGCACATGTATTCGCAGACACCTTAAATAAACCTGTGTCTAAGGCCTGAGTAACCATTTACGTGCATATTCTAATATGATTGATTTTTAGTTACAAATTATCATTAAAATAAGGCAAATGTCATGCAGCTGTCATTGTTGCTTAATGACATTTTTGGAAAAACTGATTCTTGGCTTTGCCTAAAGTACTGTACGCTGTACTGTATCTGGTTTTGAGGTATCTTTTTAAAATACATGTACATGTAGATACTCTTCTGAACACAGTTTGAAAGGCCTTATCACGAAAAAAAAATTTAAAATAAAAAGCATCCTCAAGGAAGCCAAAAGTTTTGAACATGTACACGTACATATGTACATTGTATGTGTGCAGCTAATTTTTTAGCAAGCTTGCTACTGCAATTACTGGTACATTTTTTTTTCTCAGGAGACACAGCCGAGACCCAAAATGGCACGGAGTCTAACCCTTCAGACGGAGACAACATTGCTCCCACCCCTCTCTCAGACACCCCAACAGAACGGGCCGGTACACAGAGCAATACAGGACTGGACCAACTGACAGACAGAACCTTGCTGCCAGAGAGCAAGACACAGTCTCCATCAACGCACACACCGACTGGTAAGAATGGGAAGAAATCAGGAGGAATTCCATCATACAGGCATGGGGTGTTGCCAGGAATATATTCAGTGACCACCGAGTGGGTGCCAAGGGGAGAATTGTCATCGAGATCACAAGAGGGCAAGAAGTTATTTTTATACAATTCAGTGCAGAATATGCATTGGAGCATATTTTTGCGGTTGGGGAGGCAATATTGTGCTATTACTTTGTGTAGGCCTTTAGGCTGTCTATTTGAATTTTTTTTTACAGGGAATGTTTATATTTCTCCATTCCCCTCTGGTTTGATAGTAGTGGCCATGTTTTTGGAAGTGAGGTTTTTGCTCAGTTTGAGTTCCATCTGACAAAGCTTGTTTAAGTCTCTTCCAAACTGGTCTTGTGCTTCCTTATTCAGTTGTCAAGTTGACGGTGTCAGCAGGTAAGGACAAAACCCTCCAGCTCCCAGACCAAGACACTGTCACCCTGCACGCCTACGTTATCCCTACTGAACCCCCCCAGGGCCAGGAGTACACCTATGACTGGCAGGTAGTGGATGAGCCTGACTCCGGGGCTGGCAAGATGATCAAAGAAGGCAAGAACCTGAAATTGGAAGAGGTACGTGTTGGTTTGTATGGGACAAAGAGTTTCTGCAACCCTGCTCTATTTCAGCCGTGTAAATGACACATTTTAATCAAACTGGGTGTGTACATAGAAACTTTTATTCAATGCTGTTAATCATCATATCTGATAATGATACCAAAGATTCCTCAAAAGCGCCCTAGGCACTGTAGCTCATAAGCCTGCAGAAACCTATAGAAAAGAGACAATGAGAAGCAGTGACAGTTTTATAGGTGGAAGGAAACCCCAGAAGTAAACCCCACAGAATCAGGTTCATATATTGACTGAAATCCCAACCCACATGTGGACGGAGCTGGGATTTGAACCCGGACCGCAGTGGAGAAAGGCAAAAAAAGAACCACTATACCAACCTGACTCCCCAAGTGTGCAAAGCTCAGTCAGACAAGGCGGTTAGTAACCATGATCTTTAGTGTGTCAGAAGAGTTTAGAAAGAACCACTACACCAACCTGACTCCCCAAGTGTGCAAAGCTCAGTCAGACAAGGCGGTTAGTAACCATGATCTTTAGTGTGTCAGAAGAGTTTAGAAAGAACCACTATGCCAACCTGACTCCCCAAGTGTGCAAAGCTCAGACAAGGCGGTTGGTAACCACGATGTTTAGTGTGTCAGAAGAGTTTTAGGGCAAGGATGCTGACGCCATTCTAGCCTGAGCGCTTGATGATGCATTCAATCTTCCCCCCTTCAAAAGAAAAGTCAGGAACCTCAGCCCAAATATTTGAAAGATTACTGGTATATTCTGTTACTGTATGTTTCATGTACCGATAGGAGTTACAGGTTTGAATCCTAGCACACTGGATTTTATTGTTCACCATCATATTGAAAATGGCATTGCAGATGTTCTGTTGGCAATACGGGCGATTCACAATAGTGCGCCACCAAGAGTTTGCAATGCGTTGGCCAATCACGACGCGTGAATTTTGTCGACACTTTCCAAACGCGCATTGGGGTGACAAATTTTGCACATTGTGATTGGCCAACGCGTTGCAAACTCTTGGAGGTGCACTATTGTGAAACGCCCATATTGATAATTGGGTATCAAGCGCAGATTTTTTGTTTGTTTGCAGCTGTCAGCTGGTGTTTACCAGTTCAAAGTTGAGGTGCACGGAAAGGGCTCTTATGGCTCGGCGACAATCAATGTCACAGTTCTTGCACCTCCCCGTGTCAACCAGCCACCAAAAGCCATCATCAATCCGGTCAGCCAAGAAATCATTCTTCCCAACCCAGGAACCTACTTGGACGGCTCACGTATGTTCTGCTATAACATGTAGCAAATAACATTGCTTAGTTATGGACATTCTTAGCAACATATTGGTGGAGAACCAGTCACTTGCAGCACACGTTACATGGAATGTTTGGCTGGTTACTCCTGTGCTTCACATTAGCCCCTGAACTGAAAATGTTGCTGAAAATAAGCCATATACATGTAAGTGGATTTTAACAAATTTGAGCAGATGTTGTGAGGCTAAATAGCTTCATGAAAGGTAGAGACTTTTACTGCATTGCTGAGAAAAATTGTTTGACTTTGAGATTCAGACAGGTTGTGTTTTGAAGTGTTTTCATGTTTCTTGGTTTGATTGAGCAGATAGCACAGATGATGACAAAATTGTGACTTACCACTGGCAAGAGATTGAGGGTCCAGTCAAAGAAACTAAGATTATAGGAGACGACCAGTTATTGCAACTTACGGATCTAGTACCTGGCCACTATGTCATCAGGTAAGACTGGGATAATGTGAGGTGCCTACCCTTGAATGTGTAATATATATGTCTATCTTAGAGGGTGCCCTTCTGAAGGTAACGTTGTGCACCCAGTCCAGGTCCCTGTATGACTGGGTGTAAACTGGGTATCTTCTCACGTAGATACTCAGAATTCACTCTACATTCAGCCAATTTGTCTCAAGGAAGACAGGTACCTTCTGTAGCCAAACATTGCATCTAACCTATGTGATACAGGATCAGCTGGGTATGCATTGGGTTCCGTCCATTAATTAGTGCGTAGTTTCTGGGTGTCAAATGGGTTATTGTTGGTGGAGGAGGATTGACCCAAGTGTTGTGTCTTTGCTTATTCCAGATTAACTGTAACAGATTCAGATGGAGTGACTGACTCAGCATTAGCCAATGTCACAGTTAAAGAAGGTTGGTGGATGAACAATCTGTTCCTCTAGAGCGGACGCATATTTTGAAATCTTTACTTTGAAAGCTGCCATGGTTCATGGAGTGTGCCTTTGAACGAGACAGAGAGCATGTTATTCCAGCCACTCTCTTTGTCACTACTGAGGATACACATTGACACAGCAAACAGATCCCTAAATGACAAATTTCCATCCCTTACAGAAATTGACAACCCCCCAATTGCCAAAGCAGGCAAAGATGTCATCATCAAACTTCCTGTGAACTCAGCCGTTCTCTATGGCAACAGCAGCTTTGATGACCACCCTGGTTTGGTCTATGAATGGTCGAAAATTAGTGGACCAGTGGCCGACATGTCTGTAAGTCAAGAACATTGCCAGTTTTAAGAACTGACTGAAGAAGACATCTTTACAAGTTTTTATGATACCTTTCAAGAAATTAAAGCACCAAAAAGTTGCAGACTGTTAAGTTCATGTCTAAAGATGATACACGGTGTATTTCAACCAGGTTTTTTTTTTTTTAAGAAGGTTGCCAAAGTTTTTAAAAAGATTTTCACTGTTTCCCAACTGTATGCTTAGTGGTCATTGAGAGCTTGCAAGACCTCTAGGGTGGGACTTGCACCTAGGAGCTCCTGCTTAATGAAGACTTTGTACCCCCCCCCGGAGTGTCACGAGGGTTATTCACATCCAGGATGGAAGCATAACCACAGCAAACTCTTTTAGACAAAACAACCAGTAACTTTAAAAGTCATGTGTGAGGAGCAGAATCCTTGTTAAAACTTGCCAGATTTACTTCAGGCAAAGAAGCCAAAGTTGATTGCAGTGCATTCTCTTTCCAGGGTTCTTCATCTCCTATACTTCACCTGAACAGTCTTGAGGAGGGTACCTACATCTTCAGGCTGACGGTGACCGACTCCAAGCACAGAAAGGATTCTGACGAGGCAACGGTGATTGTTAAACCAGGTAATCTAGCTTTTGTTGTCTTTGATAGTTTGGGGAATGAATCAAGACATCAATTCTTCTTCATGCTTGTGAATGGTCTATGCGGAAGCTACTGCGAAGGAGAATATCAGTGAAGTCAAAATTCAAGCTGTGAATTTATAGAGGTTGAATATGTTTTGATTTGGAAAATTTTGCTGCAAAAAGCCCTCGTCAAGTGTACGTCACAGTCAAGTATCTGCGTTGAGACAGAACCTGTTTTAAATTCTGTACAGAGCATCAGTGGAAAAACCGTCAACTTAAAAGTCTGTCGCCAATCTGTTGCCTTGTAACTTTTAATTTTTTTCAAAGAAAGAAAATGAAGGCATTTTTTTGTTGCAGAAAACAATTTGCCACCCAGAGCAGATGCAGGTCCCGATAAGGAACTGTCACTTCCAGACGATTCCACGACCCTGGATGGCATAGGCAGCACAGATGACCTTGGTATCACCTCCTACTTCTGGGAAAAAGTCAGGTTAGGCCATTTATTTAAGTTCATATTTGTTGATAATTTTGTTTCCTTTGCAAAGAGTTTTCAAAGTCTTTGCTTGTTGATCAGAAAGGTCACTGGATTGTTGTTCTCGGTATTTTGTTGTGTTTTCCACAGTGGGCCTAATGACCCCAAGATTGAAGATGCAGATCACGCAATGGCCAAGGTGTCAGGTTTGATAGCCGGGCGCTATGTCTTTAAACTGACTGTAGGGGACAGACAGGGAGCCACCAACAGTGATACAGTAGATGTGGTCGTCAAGAAAGGTATGCACAGGTTTATTTTGTAGTTGAGTCCATCACCTGTCCTTTCACAAGTATGGCCATAAGTCCTTGCATGAGAACATGTCACAGGTAACAGGGAAGTAATGATAAGGAAATGTTTCTCTTAACCCTCCTATGGTTTTACAGCACAAATGTGCACAAATGCCCACAGTCACTGGTGAGCATGTAGTTTCTATATGGAACTCAAACATGCACAGGTTCAGTTGTACACAGTAGGTTGCCAGCACAAAATGACCCAAGGTCTTTTGTGCAGTCCTCTTCACTGCATTTGGTTTACTGCACAATTATGCACATGAAACAGCGAAGCACAGTTGTTGGGTAGCACAAAAGTGCAATCTGATATTCCTGTGAGGGACAGTTAGTGCAGTGCACAACACGACACAGCTGTTCTTCTTTGAGGTGTTTACCAAATGACCCAAAGAGTGACTTCAGCATAGGAGGGTTAGTGTTCATTTGCATACATGTAGCTTGTGACTCGACTTGCAATTGGATGATTTCTGTTAAACTGGCAGGGTTTGGAGAACAATCCTGTTACTGGAGGAAAAACGTTCATTACACGAATTTGTTAAAGGACTAATTTTAACCTTTGCTGTTAAAAGTATGACTTGTACTGTATGTGCTATCAGTCCTTGGCTTTTTTTTGTCTTCCAGAAGTGAACAAGCCCCCCGTTGCCCGTGCTGGACCAAATATTACCATCCATCTGCCAAACAGTGGGGTGGAGTTGAACGGATCACGGTCAAAGGACGATAAAGGCATCGTGTCGTATGAGTGGAAACGAGATGCTAAGAGTCCTGCTGCTGGGGTATGTTGC